CTCACCATTCCCCTTCAACTGTGCCATCGGTGGCATTCTGGAAACAGCTCTAATGGATACAAGAAATGGTGCTGTGGATCTGTTGCCTGGAGAAATACTTCTCGACCTTGAGTAAGTGGATGATATTGTCTTACTGTGCGATAATGCCCAAGCCATGCAATCCGCACTTAATCAGTTGGCAATCAGTGTCCGTAGGTATGGTATGTGCTCTGCACCTTCGAAGTGCAAAGTACTTCTACAAGACTGGCAGGATTCTAATCCTGTACTCACTCTGGATGGTGAGCGGATTGAAGTAGTCGAGAAGTTCGTGTATCTGGGTAGCTGCATAAGTGCTGGTGGGGGTGTGAGTGATGAGATCAATGCACGAATAGTGAAAGCCAGAGCGGCTTATGCCAATCTGGGCCACCTTTTGCGCCTTCGTGATGTTAGTCTGGCTGTAAAAGGTCGGATCTACAACGCGTCAGTGAGAGCAGTTTGCTCCATGCTTGTGAAACGTGGCCTCCGAGTTGAGGACGTTAGACGACTCTCTGTGTTCGATCATCGTTGTCTCCAAAGGATTGCTGACATCCATTGGCAACACTATGTTAGTAATACAGAGGTTCGGCATCGTGTGTTCGGGTGCGGAGACGATAATTCAATTGGTATTGTGGCAAGCCCATTTGACTACTGTATCATTTATCTAGTCATTGTAACTGAGACTCAATTCACTATGTTAATTTCGGTGTGTATGATCGAATGTATGTCTGTACATTAACTCTTAAGCTATTTTCCTATTGGTTTCAATGTGCAGATAATCGATAATTTATCCACACCCGATTAACTCTCAAATATATATGTATTTTTAACAGACTCACACACTCTCCCTGTTTCATCGTGTGCTTGCTCACTGAACGCTTGTGGATTATTATTATTCATTATCAATAAACTATCTCTATAACTGGTGTTCAGGCTTTTTAATAATCTCGAGTAAATTCGCAATTCTACTAGGAGATTAAGCCTACCTAAAATACTCAGTTACGGGATATTATTATTTGGAGTCAGATATTGAGGACATCATCCTCAACAGTATCACCATCTTGAAACACCGAGTTTGGTGACTTGGACATGTTCTACGAATGTCGTCCCAGAGAATTCCATGTCGTGCATTATTTGCCGACTCTGGGACTGGTTGGAAGAAGCGGAGAGGTGGTCAGTATATGACATGGTGTCGTGGTATGAAAGAAATCTGCAAAGGACTGGCTTTTGTTGGTCCTTCACGACTCCCTGGCTGGTGTCCGAGAGATGGTGCAACACAGTGGCTAGAGACGTTATCAGATATAGCTGAGAATAGAAGCCAGTAGTGATCCTGCTGTAACCTTCTTTTACTTTCTTCATAAAAAGTGGTTGTATCTTCCTTAACTGAAAGAATTCTTTTGGTTGTACCTTTCCGTTTCCCCCATTATTATTATTATAACGCTACCTTACCTTATGCTGTTCGTTATTGTTCTTTTTTACGCTCCTTACTTTTTTTCCAATGTTAAACCACCATTAAGAACTTGATAGGGAGCTTGTGTGATCTTTACTGAGATGAACTAAATCATCTAATAATATCCAACCGTTTAAGCTAGCTAATCAAACAGTTGCGATGAGTAAAGAATACAAATGTTTGTGATGAACAGTGATAAGTGATCCCATAATGGAATAACGATTTCACTCAAGAAGTAAGATTCCTGTTTGTTTATTTAAAAGCCACACTTTGTATCTCTATATATATGTGTGTGTGATGGCTAGTTAGAATAGCTATGTGGGCGAATCGAACAAACAAGTTAGAGTGCAATGCAAAACTGAAACTGAGTCAATATACATTTGCATATCATTCGCATCTTGCTATTGATGTTTAGGACTACGACTGACCAGTCTGTTTTGGCATATTTTTGTAGCGAATTATCCCGAGACAACTTCAAAGGCTTCGTCTATAACTCGTCCTGAACTAATGTTATTAGGTAACTCCACAGTCTATGAGATCCACACGACAATACAAAACGTTGACGACGCTTTATTTATTCTACTAAGTAAATCACTAAGCCACAAAACTAGCACACAAAGCCTATACGTGAAGAAATACCAATGCGATCAAACAAGTGACCAATTGAATACAACATGGAATAACCAGTTGAACCAACTAATAACATTTAAACATATATATGTGTATTTAAGTCGAGTGTTCCAAGTAACTAACATTTAGACTGGAGAAAGGTGGTTGTGCGTAGACTGTCACATGTGATGATCAACCATGGTACATGCTCTCCATGGATGGTATAATAAGATGATAAGATAAACAAACAAATTGTTACTATTCCACTACTAACACTATCCCTTGAATAAGTTAGTTGGAGTGATTGACGTATTTAACCGTAACGTAAATAAGCCTAATTGTAGGAGAGGTGCAATAATCCGGTACTGCAATAGTGATCATTACATTGACAGCATTCCTTCCACTGTTTATTCCCTTAATTCTAAAATTTGCTTTATTTGGCTCACTTCACCACCTGGATTTAAACCCAATAACACTTTATTAATTCTAGTCAGATATTCATACCGAATTCACAGTCGTTATAACTTGTCTTATCATTTTCACATCATTCGGTAGGATGTTTGAACTCGCATTTATTCAGTCTTCTCATATCGTCTTTAACTAGTGTTACCAGTAACCACGTTATAATCATCACACTGCTATGATTATAATTGTTTTCTCCGGTAATCGATTACATCATATTCCCCCTCCCTCGCTCTCGTCTAATCTATTCACTTACACATTAAACTTGTGTCAATGTAGTATGTATTTAACACTATTTCTCACTAGTGAAATAAATGACTTCATACGCCATGTTACACGCATAATTATAATGTGGAACTAATCCATGTCAGATAGAGACAGGTATCTAGCTCAGATAATTGAACATGGTTGCGCGATTTCGTGGACTGTTTGAAGTTAGATACTAACACCGTTGGATGCCGGCTTAATGGTCTAGGAGTTCAGCGTTCGTGCGAGACCGAAGGTCCTGGATACGAATCGTGGATGTGCAATGCTCACAAGTCCCACAATAGGACGAAACCGTACATCCACCTTAGTCAGTCATGAACAGTGATCTATGACCTGGCACAAAACACATCGCTCCATTTTCCCATACTCTAGAACTGGTGTGGATTACTTTGACACTTTCACTCATTTAGCTTAGTCCCAATGTGTTGGTTGATGGGAGTGTTGGTAACTTGTAGCAACAATTTAGTCCTCGACTTCGCCTAAATCGTTAGGCTGTACAGCAGGTTGGTTTTCGAACAAGCATAATTAAGATCGAGTCTACTGCAATGCAAAAGGTATTTTGAATGGTGACCGCTCCTTACGCGACTTGGGAAACCTAGCATCTACCAGACCCATTAAATCCTTCGGTCCAGTCTTTGCGTCATCCATAGCAGCAAATTTCACTCGGAAAATATCTTCTATTCTGTCAGTCAAACCATGCTTCGAAGTGCGAGCACTGTCTGCAATTTTTATTATTCGCCAAAATCCCCGTCACCAATTTGTTATGACTTTATGGCCCGCTAGTTATCACTTAATTTATTCGCCAATCAAAATACGACTTACTTGCCCTTGCACTACTATACTAAACCAATGACGTCCAACCGGTCTGATCAGACTAGCGTCCCACTGGTTCGTTGCTCGCCGCCTAGCCCATCCAGCTCAATTGAATCCAGAATGCCAACAACAGCCTCCACTATGCGAATCATTTATTTCACATATACTGGGTTTATATACCAACCAAACAGACCGCAACGCACCATAAAATACAAAATAACATTTATACACAATAAAGCCAAGAAGTGGCTGTGAAGTGAACGTGGGAGACTACAGTAACCTAATAAACTGAGTATAATTTAACAATAGTAAATGGTACAATAATAATAATCTATAGAACAAAATGAAGTATATAATGGGAGGAATATAGATATGCAGTCTAGTTACTGAAAACTTATACAATAGGAATATATATCTAATATTAGTCCATTATTAGGTTTCAGGAGTTACTCTTAATGTTGTAATCTTCACTACTATATAACAAGTTTCGTAAATAATCCTACAATATTTTATTCCAGATCCTACTTTAATGGTATATTCCATACACAACTGAGCCGTTTCGTTATATTGTGAACGGTTAGAGAACCAAATCTCTCAGTCTAACATAGATATGCTTAGTTTCAAATGACAGCATCCAAGTAATGACTCCAACTAGTGAACGTACACCAAATAACTCTTCCGTTCTTCAACTTCTCACACAAATAATGTCTCCTTTAACGGTCGCAATGACTAAAACAACGCAGTGGAAAAGTTGGAGTTGCACACGACACCAAAATACTTATCACCCCCCCACCCTTCGTATAAGACAAGTTGTTGGAAAGCACTATCCTCTTTCTTATTTGTTACTGAGGTTTCCTTTCAATTAGCGCCTGCATAATTTTGCATGTAGGACAAACAACTGTAGTGGAATACTCCATATGAAGCCAAAAGAGTATTCGTCACATCGAGGAGTTCGAGCCAGATTTCATCTCGAGACAACTCGCAACCTATAATCTCATCTACCATAACTTGAACAAAATACAATACAAGATAAATTACCTAAGCAAGCCAAATCCATATAACTCTGCACTGTCCATTTAGTTTAGTTAGAAACAAACATAAACAAATGTAATACGGAGTACTTTTAGCCCTGCCCAGGATCAACATTTCGGAGGTGTAGTGCTCTCTGAATTCGATGGTCTGGTCGTGAGACATTCATCATCCCATCCACCTAGACAACGTCAGTAAATACTTCGAAACAATCATCTAGTGTAATAAACACAAAATACATAGACACATCGACTGTTAACAATGTGGCTGGCGTTAACATGCCCAGTTACACCATAGTCAACAATTTATTATATCCAAGTAGTTGGAGAAGTAGTTTTCATAGAATATGAAGTAGGTCTTTCTGGGAACTGACTTTTTTCGTTCTTGACATCTTTACTACTTTTACAAAAATAAAGGCGTAGCATGAATTGATGAAATGTATATTTAAAATATTTGAATGATTCTAGTTATTAGGAAAATCGATGTGCAAGTATGACATGAGAGTTAAAAGTTTCGACAACAAACCATCCAAGTGTTGCGTGTGTATGTTTATATAAATTAGAAATGACAGTTTATCAGAAATAATAAAACGAATACTAGCGTTGATAATAATAGAAACCGAACCATGAGTAAGTAGATCTCAAGAGTTCAACTTATCAATTAGGTTGAAAAGTTTGGTAAGATCTTTTGAGGCGCAATCTTCTTGTTCACGTCCAGTATTGGTCCTTATAAGCAATTTTGGAAGCCACTCATTCATAACTTTATGGAAACGTTCAGATGGATCAATATTTTGTAGAAGTCGACTAATCCAATATAAAAGACGTCCACTGGCAAATAACATCCAAAATGGATAAAAGCTTATGAAAGGATTTCTAAAATGTGAACAACTATCAAACTTATTACTATTTGACATATAAAACGGACAAAGCACCTCAATCATTGCAACTAAATGCTTTAAACCAGTGGCCATACTTTGCGATTCATTAAGTTGGTGAACTTGCTCAATACAAAAGGAACGTTTATTTACATCTTGACAACAATTTGATTTGGCCACATCAGCACACTTATCGAGATGTGTGCGAATGGAGTTAGCGAAATCTCCATCAACATCACGATTTCTACCGAGAAATTCACGATTTGAATTCATTGCGATTGTACAACATGACAACGCAAGTGCAACTGGCGATGTCTTAATGTTTTTAGCTTCGTTTTGAGCATGAGATGAACATCTGAACCATAGAATTAATAAAATAGCCAAACCTTGTATTTCAAGAGGCTTAAAATCTTTCTCCAAATTCACATTGAACAATTTCGAGAAAAAAGATAAGAACGACAATTCAGGCGTTTTAGCACTAGGGGGTTTCAGAGGCTTCATCGACATTAAAGTCTTCGTAAAATCACCATCCACGTTTCTTCTATACTCAGTGACACACTCATTCTCCATTCCACATAACTTTCCACTGGTGCCCAAGTGGTTTTCAAGTCCATATATAAGTCCATTTATAGCACTTCTCATCTTCGACATACATTCATCAAGCGAACTAGGAATCTTTATGTCCTCCATTAGTAAACGAGAAAAAGCGCCATTTCGTACATACATGTGGTCAAATAGGGATGGGATTAAGTCCAGAAATCTAAATCGCCTAATCAATTCTTTCGGCCAACGGTGAAATATACTGTCTTCATCATCATTTCTCTCCAATATAGGTTTAGAAAATTTGGAAGCATCTTCACAGTAAGAACCCCGACAAGTTGTGGGATCCTGAATGCTCAAATTTCCCATCTTGCTTGACAACGAAACACTTGATGAGATATTGTGTTCAGTTGAAAAACCTAATTCACGAGCCAGGTTTTCTCCTGAACTACTTAGAACATAATCCGAAATCCCTAAACGAATTGTCTTTCCAATACCATCCCTTTCGTTTTCACTGTAAAGTGACAACACCAATGACAATGGTTCTTCTATGTCACGGAAACTTAACAGCCAGTTAAATATAGCATCGATACGTCTTTGATAGTAGGACTTCCTCTGTAGTTTAGAAGTATGGATTAGTGAATCGATGATAGTTGGAAGGCGAATATTTGATATCATGTCATTACCAACGAGAATGGCAAAAAGTGGTAACATAGGATACTTGAGTTTAGAAAACGGTCCTGAATTATTAAGAATTGAACACAACATGAAATAACATGAAGCACCACTCCGTTTACAAATAGAACAAGGGACGGATCTCTTAGAATAACGTGAAATAGTTGAAAATGGAATAAAATTATACACTTGATTATTATCGTTTGGTCGATAAATAAAAAAATCAGAATCTCCACTAGTAACAGGACATTGAAGATGAACAGCAAGTTCTGCTGTACTGATATCAGCTTCACGTTCACATGCTATGTATCGAATTGAAGATTCACGCAGAATTTCAACCAGAACATTTCTGTTAAGTCGTGGAGCTATATCAATGTTCAACTCTGTGCTGCAAGTTGACTTAGCAATCAGAAGAGCTGATGCGAGTTGTTTAAAGTACTCCTTGTTCCGCTTCATCAAAGTATCCAATTTCGTTCCCTAAACAAAGCGAAAAAAGTTCATTAGTTCATACATAAAATCAATCACTGTATGTGACAAACTTGAAAAACATATAACTCAAGATGTTTGGTGTTATGTGTCTCTTTATTCATCACATTCGATCGTGAATAATTGACCATCACTCTGAGAAATATACCAATAAACTGAAAGACAATAATGAAATCATATCTCAAGTGGTGGTAAAAAGTTTTTCAATACGTATAAAAACTCGAATAACACTAAATATTTGGCTGATTGTGTACACTCACTGCTCAGTCACATAATAGGACCAAACAACCGTCCAGTGCTTCAGTCGTGGTTTTTAATGGTGGTGGTGGTCTAGGTTAGATTGACTTCTGAATTCAACTGGGAAAATTCTTAAATTGAATACTTAATAAACAAATTATTGTCATATGAATGAAATAGACTTCCAGGTATACAAGTGACTGACTGCATCAACATCTTCATTTGTAGATGTCATAACTCGAGTCTCAATGTAAAACAGTGTTTAATGTCTTGTTGAAGAAAAAGCCGTGATACACAAACAAAATAATCGTTGGCATTTTGCAACATTAACATTAGCAAAGTGGGAACATTCTATATGCAGACCATAGCGCTTCAAACACACTTTCTTATGGTTTAATTCATTAGGCAACTGTAGTATTGACCAACTGTATATAGATTTATATCTACCTGCCAAAACAACTCTACATTGGCCGAATAGAAAGGAGGGCATATTTCAGATTTTCCGAACATGTTACGAAAATCCTCACAACAAGAGAAAGAAACACTCTAAACAGTGCAATCACCAAACATCTCCTTGATACAGAACATCAGGTCGATATCTCGCAATCTTCAAGGTGATTAGTAAGTAAACAGCCAAATTCCAGTCTTCTCAAGTTTGCTCAACTCAAGCCAGTGTTATCATCAGGCGTCAAAAACCTGACTTATGTATTCAAATTCAGAAAAGATGACTATTAATCTTTCCATGCCTTGCCTTGGTCACAAATATTCCTTCGCTGCATCTTATAATAATAATAATAATAATAAATTATTATTATTATTATTATTATTATTATTATCCTCATCATTGTTTAACTCTTTCTTGTATTTATTGCATCATCCACTTGTATTTCAACTATCTTCTAAATTAACAATCTTATTCTTATATCAACTCAGCTCTACTCACTTTATTCCAATCATCACCATTTACCCAATATGTAATCACTTGTATTCAGTCTATTCAATTTATTTACACCCTTGCTATACTATACTATACTAATCTGTCTTCAATATAACTTCCATCCAACCTAACTCTCTCATGTAAGTCGTTTAAACCTATCACGTAATTATGATTCCGAATTATCACAGGTTGTAATCAGCTGACGAGAATCAGACGAAATAAACTGAATTCATGTTATTCTGCTAGAATCTTTCAGTTCACCCCCTTTTCAAAATGATAAAGGGAACTATGTGCATCAAATCAATTATTAGGCATTTAACGTATACATAATTATAAACTACTCTAAGATGCACCGACTGCTTCAATCAATTACGATATCATCTACAATAGTGATAAAATCTATACTACACAAATGCCTCAACATTTAAGTGAACTCGAAAATATGTAGACAGTTAGTTAGAAAAACAAAGTACTATGATAATGTAAGCATCACCATACCATACCTCTTTCGGATGACATCCACCGAAAACGAAAATTGGCTCCACACCACAGATACTATACTCTTTTAACAATGACTGCACATAACTCTTAAATGCCAAATACTCTCCACCAAATTCACATCGCAAAGCAGCTTCACGATAGCAGACAGCAGCAAAGTTCTCAGCATCAATAACTAAAGGCTGGTTATGCAATTCATACACGGATAAGTTTCCACCGCTGATTTCTATATACGTCCACAACCCTCGGATACCCATCTCTTCTAAAAGATGAATAAAACAAGACGATATGAGTATGGGAATCTTTAAAAACAATAACAAAAACGTAAGGATAGAAGAAAACATTCACATCTAGATATGATGTAGATAACCTAACACCTATAATACAACTCATCAGTAAATAACTATAACTAGGTCGACAACAATTCTATAAGGTGATAAACCAAACCCATTCATTTGCTAAGCTTTTATTTTGCCTAAACTAATTCATCTTCCTTAACAACTCCAACCACTATTATTCTATTCATAGGCTTACTTTTATTACTTTTACTACACTAGATATGAAACAATTTGTCACTAAAGTGACTTGCAGATTACTACTTACCAAATAAACCAAATACAATCAATAATCCTGAAGCAACTACAATGAAAGTGAATCAATAGAGAGATGAACTTGACTCTAGAGACAACGAATAACGATCTTCCTGCCTATCTATCTCCCTACTACTAAAACTAACCACCTAACTACCTACCTACCGACTTACCTTCACACCTACCTGCCTACATATCTAGCGACAGTATATACAATTAAGCATAGTTCAAATCGAGAAATATCGAGTCATCAGAATAACAATATATTTTAAAATATATACATATGCACATGTTATCAATCATCACGTCAATCTGCATCAACAACATCTGTGCAATAGTGTTGAGAGTCGAAGACAGAGTCTTCCACGGATAAAGTTAGACCAGTCAGTCAGTCAGTCAGTCAGTAACAACGTAGAACTTCGTACGTACGTACATCAGTTCGAGTTGCCACACCACATTAGCACAGAGATGCACTTGTTAGACCGGTATCAGACATTAGGCATTCACCACTATGTGACATCGTAACACCAATATCAATCAATGCAAAAAACGCCCATCGATTGCCAATCATTTTGCACATTACTCTTCTGACATCAAGTTCATCATTTCGTGTAGACGCTTTTGTGACCCGTTGATCTGACTCCATTTAGAGCGTACGAATGATTGTATGGATGTTTGTTATCGCCTATTCTCGTACGTAATCGACTTAAATCGCGTTATCCAATAACGGAATTAAATAAGTCGAATAACGAGAATTGACCTGAGAATACATACATTTCGTACATGAAGCGAATGAAACATAGCAAAGCAAAAATAACACGTATGGAAGATGGCTGGGAAGCCAACTCCATTTCAAGCCGGACATTACCCAATATTTATAGGCAGACAAAATAAACTACAGACATGTGATGAGTCATGGGACATGAAGTGTACACACATATACGCTCATATAAAAACAGTCAAGACTACTGATAAGCGAATAATTAACAAGGTCAAAATATGACTCGAGTAGAACAAGTAGAATGGAATGTCCGGAAACTAGAATAAGACATATTATGGGCTAAAACTAATGACTAACACTATAACGCACATTACTGCAACCAACACCACCGACAGTGAAAACCTACTGAGAAATTCGCCCAAGTTACAATACTCGTTACATTATAGTATGATAAGATTGATTAGTTAGTAATTAAAAGGATTCAAGATGGAAATTATTACATCTGTCACTGTTATGTCTATGGCTATGCTTAATTGACTTACACTTGGTACTGAAAACCGCAAACACGACGACTGGTGGGTGATAAGGATTTAATTCACCCTTAATATAAATCAAAATCTTATATGCATGCATACACAACGTTTTCCATAGTTTATATACAGTCAGTCAAGTTGACAATCATACTTGCAGAAGTATATAATTAATATCGATTTATCATTATCATCAGTAAGAGAACCTGTAGAGATTGTAGTATTTTAACAGTTGAATTCAGGAGTCAATCTAAGCTAGATCATCACCATAGAAAACCACCACTGAAGCACTAGACGATCGTTTCGTCCTAGTATGCAACTCTTCCTCAGCAGCGCGCATCCTTCATCCCGAATTACGAAATGCAACCCAGCACATTTGATCTAGCTCACATCACCTCGTCGTGAATTTAACTGTTCAAATACATAATCAATACCATACTGGTCAATTTCCGCACAGACTAGATTTTTCTCATTTCACCCTATCACATAAAAAATTACTACCTTAAAAACGATGGCAAACAAAATACCGATCACGTAAACGTTTACGTTTAGCGTGACACACGATCCCGTTTATCCTGTTCCGTCTAACATAAACAGGATCAGATATTAGATTGTTTTGAAAACACATTTCACGGTACAATAAATATTAAATAATTGTGAGGTTTAAGTGACCTAGATCTGACTGTACTAGGATCAGACGAATGCTCATTATCGAATGGTTATTCTGATGGTTCACAATCATTACAGTTTAAAATTAATTTTATACACAAATTAGTCTGTAATACTTAAAGTCCAACATCTTTCGGAAGTGCTAAATACATGTAAGCAATCAAATTAACAAAACACAACCACAAGTATTACGAGGAACGATGATCATCTCCAAAATATGCAAATTCTATACCGGTCGGTTGAATTACAGATGTTGTTATCCTTCTTATCGAGGGGAATGTGGTTTAAAGCTATACGGTATTGCTAAGTGGTTTATGGTTCATGTAAGTATAATTACGTATACACGATTTGCTCTTAATTTGAATCATATTAGAATACCTGTCTATCAACAATATCATTCTCGTCCTCATCACTTGACAATCACATATATGCAAACAAGTGTTATTCTGAGAAACTAACTCACATGATAGATAGACCTATTCTAGTCAACTCCAAATCTGTCTGCCTACTACTACTCAACTGTAGAACGTGTACACCGAGAATACAGAGGGTAGTATCTGAAGGAATCTCGAAGCATATGTAGGAAAATTTCATCTCCAATAACTACAGACTAACAAGTGGTCTCACACGACAAAAGTTATTCAATAAATATTAATAATGTCATTCAAATGATAAATAGAAAAGACACTAATAGACATCTATGTTACACCGAAACAGTACTATTCATCATAACAACTTCAATTCATCTGAACAAATGCAACTTACAGTTCACCTTGTGATAGCTCAGCTACGAGATAATTCCTTAGGCTTTCTATATCACTCGTCGCCCTGGTTAACCGTTATCACGTAACTCCAAATACGAAAGCGAACGAGTACAGGAACCCGTGTCCACACCAATGCTAAATCGAATGAACTAATGAGATCCAAAAGCTTATATATTAATCGAGTGATTCAAGCAGTTAACATTTAGCCTCTAGAGAGAGAGAGAGGTATTTGTGCGTAGGCTGTCACATGTGATCTAGTTATTTGCTCATCATGGGTATGATCATAACGACTAGGATATACAAATCGTCACTGCCCTCCTCCTCCTCCTACTACTACGACTGTCCGTTAAATGAGTTAGTGGAAGGGCTTGGCAAGATTAACAGTTAACAAACTGATCAGACGTACCATATGTGCATTCAATTCAAGTATGGTTCCACCGACAAAATTGTAGATAAGACGACCATTTAGATTAGCTGATGATTCATATAAATGAGTTCTTCACTAGCATTAATCAGTCATATTATATTCCGCCTGTATTTTCAACAAAAGATATATACACTTAACAATCCGAACAAATTCAGAAGGACAAACACGAATTGTCTTCATGATAATTCATGTTGTTTAAATGGATTAATAATGAATAAACATAAGTTGAGGTGTGATGTGTATGTGCTACTTATGTCAACATAAGTAGTATATAACGATAGGCTAGAATGGAATGTCTAGCAGCAGAAGATTGAGGAGATCGTAGAGGAACGAACGGGAACCGAAAGTAGTTGGTATGGAAATAAATTTGGGGACAATGAAGTTTGAGACAATTGATTGACAATTTTTCGGTGACACAAATAGGTCAATGATATTACTATCACTTTTATTGTTAGACTTAAAAATCCCGGCGAAGTCAAATTTATGGATTGAAAACTAGATAACAATTCATTTCAACGTACTTTATTAAGATCTAGTACTTACACCAATTACACCTCGTGAAGGAGCGTAGGTCACCCACCAGGATTAATTGTAAAACAAAAACCATTAATTTCTTAACTGATCAGCCAAACTTTTTAACAAATCATTCCGTGTTTTCTTTCTATATTTAATCTTAATATAACTATTCATCCATTCATTCATTCACTAATCTATTTACATAAAGTAAACAACTCGGTCGAGAGGATTCGATCTACACTAAGAAGGATCTGACATAAATGAAATGGCTCATCACCCAGTGATCAATCCATTGTAAATAACCATCATTCTACACACAGAAATGATCGTTTGCCAATGAGCAAAACCTTGCATAGATCTAATTCATTGAACCATAATCATAAATAATATCCATGTTTATAGATTATCATTATTATCATCAATTCAACTGATAATAGATCTGTCATTTTGGAACTTGATTCAACTTCAGTTTTGACGGTTATTCTAACATGAGTTGTGTGTCATGTGCATTATTACTTTATGTAATTGAGTTCCATTGACAAATCAGTTGCTTCTTTTTCAATGTAAACAATTCTACTCAGCTGACAAATGAAATCTTACATTTGGATTATCATAATTCATAGTGTAGTGAACAAGAACACAAGTGGAGACAATCGAATGTATTTAAATACAACATTACAGAACTTCTTAGTCAAATCTGAGAATCATACTGTAAATGAACATACCAGATCTCAGCGGAGGAAGAAATCAGAAAGAAGCGCTGGAAATGGATAGGACACACATTGAGGAAACTACTCAACTGTGTCGCAAGATAAGCCCTCACATGGAATCCTCAAGGCCGAAAGAGGAGAGCAGGACCAACGAACACATTACGTCAAGAAATGGAGACAGACATGAGAAAAATGAACAAAATTTGATAGAAGTGGAAAAGAAAGCTCAGGACACAATGGGTCGAAGAATGATGGTTGGCGACCTATGCTCCATTGGGAGTAAAAGACGTAAGTAATTAATACTGTAAATACTTCATTTACAAAATGTCAATCAA